TTCCACAGCTGAGGTACCTGACAAAAGGAGTAGTAAACAAGTGCTATGGTTGTAAAAGGTTCCACACAACAGCATTCCAGAGGCCCCCACCTGGAAACCTACCAACAGACCGAACAGAGGGATCAGTTCCATTCCAAACGGTGGGCGTGGACTACGCTGGACCCATAATGTACAAGATGACAACTAAGAGGGAKGGTARGGCGTATATCCTTCTTTTCACCTGCAGTCTAACAAGAGCCGTACATATYGAGTTGCTGTCCGACCAGAGTACAGAGGGATTCATCACAGCTTTGAAGCGGTTCATAGCTCGTCGAGGAAGACCCTGCAAGATATACTCAGATAATGGGAGGAGTTTTGTCGGAGCGGAGCGGTGGCTGCGAAAGATCATGGAAGATGAGAAGGCCCAAAACTACCTAGCACATCAATCCATAGTGTGGCAGTTCAACCTAAGTAGAGCCCCATGGTGGGGTGGGCAGTTTGAGAGGTTAGTGGGCATCGTTAAACAAGCATTGTATAAGGCAGTGGGAAGAGCAGTCCTTAAGTGGAAAGAGCTGGAAGAAGTGATGTTAAATGTAGAGATAGCGATCAACAACCGGCCCCTTGCGTACGTCGAAGATGACGTGCAGCTGCCTGTATTAACACCAAACTTGATGATATGTGGGCAGCCCAACTTCATCCCAGAGGTGGAAGCTGAGTCAGTCGAAAGCATAGATTTAAGAAAACGAGCAAAGTACCTACGCCGATGCAAGGATGTTCTGTGCTCACGCTGGACCAAGGAGTACGTACGATGTTTGAGGGAACGACATAATCTCAAGCACAATTCCAAGGAGCTACGACTAAAGATAGGAGACGTGGTGTTAATCCAAGGTGACGAGCGGAATCGGGGCAGGTGGAGCATAGGTATCGTTGAGAAGCTGATCAAGGGTAGAGATGGAGTAGTAAGAGCGGTGAGGCTGAGAGCGGGAAAATCGTACCTCGAGCGAGCGCCTCAGCAGCTGTGCCCCATGGAGTTGTCTTGTGATAGACAACCAAGCACTCCATTGCGGTTGAACCGTATAGCTAGAGAGTTTCGCCCAAGAACGGCAGCTCAAGCAGCAAGACAACGAGTCAAGGAAATCGTGCAAGCAGAAGAACAAAACTTATAATCGAACTTGGACATTGAACTTATAATTCTCTTGAACATTTRGCATTTGACCATTTATATTAATTTTACAAGATATTGTTAATTAACGTTATATTTGTTCCTTTCAGGATCAAATATGGGGAGAGTGTCGTGAGTGTCAGTAGCGAGTTATGTAATCATTATGTAATCTGAGAGTATTGAAACTTGAGAGGAGATTTTAGGGGTGTGTGAGTGTTGTGAGAGAGTCAGATGCAACGCGGAGAGAGGAGAGAGGAGAGTATGTGATCAAACTGTGTCTCAAATAAATCGAGAAAACAACAAAATATTGTGTGTGATCTGTCACGACAAGAATGTTCCACCAGAAGAGCTCTGGAAGAACAGGCAATGGATCATTTTCAAGATCTGCTCATCAGCATAGAAGATGAGGAACAGACACCAGAACCATGTGCTATCAATTGGAATGATTCAAGAGAAGATGATGAAGACCTTGGAGCAGCTGCTAAGTAGTTTGTGACACCTGAAATCAGTCTAGCAGGAGTCATGGGCTGGATTACGTGGAAGAGGCACAGGGATGCTAATGGTCAAGAAACAAAGATCATGGTAAAATTTAACCATGATTGTCTGATCCGCGATCCGACGCACACAATCTGTTTTCCTGTTGTCTCAGCTTGTGCAACGCAAATCACTTTGCCGTTAAAACACATGAAAACAAGTGAAGAGTTTAAGAATGTGTTCTTACTCGGTTACAACAAAGGACAGGCCTTTGCAAGAAAATAATAGCAATCAAGTAATTTATTGCTGAAGGGACTTGTCAGACATTAGCAGGTGCAGGGGAGGTGGTGATTTTGAATTGAGCGTTGAAATGATGTGACCCTAAAATAGCAAATTTCCCCCTTTTCACTGTCTGTTTTTCATAACCCTTTTCAAAAAGTCATGACCCTCCCCCATTTTTAACCCCCTCCCCCTGTTTAATTTCTAAACTACATGTAAGTGCCCTATGATAAATGTTTGCTTGAAGGAAACGAAAGATAACTTAGCTGCCGCCACCGACAACGCGAACACGTCGACCATGACTTTTGTCATTGGCGAAGCAGCAACAATCCACGAAGTAAGGAAGAAGACAAGCGGTGTGGTCAAAAAAGCGAAGAGGTATAAAATACCCAAAAGCCTTTTGGGAGACGCACTACTTCATCTTATTGAATATGGTAACTAAACACTTATTTCCAATTTACTGCTATTGCAACCACATTTTTTTTGTGTTTGTGGAATGTGGGCTTCGAGAGGATACACCAACGAGAGACAAGACTTTAAATTCGGCTTCCCCTTATGTATTAGCCCGAGCAGTCAAAATTCGATGACGAATAAAGTGTACTTCTCTATATATACTATTTTAAATATCATGAAACAATATATTCTATAATTATCTCATTTACCACTGTAGATGATACGTTAATTCTCTTTTTGATGTAATTGCAGATAGAACAACTAAGAGAAAGCTTTTTGTAGATGGCAGTATTGGCTTACGGCCACGAAGCAAGAAAAGTGAGTGTATATTTCCATAAACTTGACTGGACGAACTATTTTTCACTAAAAAAAGGATGCAAGTTTACAAACTGTTCCCTATCGTTTCTGCTCGCTAAACAGGTGCCGTATCAAGATTTGATCTCACTTATAAGTATTTTAAATTACTGAGAAAAAAATTATAAATTGAGAATTTATCTTGCGCGCTCAGAGATTGGGTAATTTTTATCATCAACAAGAGGATGACACATAAATGTCATCTTTGAGCGCAATTGTTGCATGTGTTCCTAAATGCATTTAGCTTCCAGAAATGATTTTGTTTTTTTACACATCACAGATTTGAGCGCAATTGTTGCATGTGTTCCTAAATGCATTTAGCTTCCAGAAATGATTTTGTTTTTTTACACATCACAGATTGTGCTTGAAACTGAAAGCAGCCCCCAAAGGAAGTTGGTTTTTCCAAAGCTGCCAGAAAGACTGATCAGACAACGAAATGCCACATATAGTCGTTTTCGTATGAGTGGGAAAACTTCACGGTTTCGATGCGATACGGTTACGGCAAGAATTTCGATTTTTTACGATACTAAGATTACGACCACCGAAACCACTGGGACCGCCGAGACCACCGAGACCACTGGAACCATTGGGACCACCGAGACCACTTGGACATCTGAGACCACTCGGCAACTGAAACTACTAGTACCCCAGTCTACACTGAGACTGCTAGTGTCCCAGTGTCACGAGACTACTAGTACCCCAGTCTACACTGAGACTACTTATGCTGGGAGCCAGCTTGCACTAGATCTTGCCCTAGAACATTTAGTTCATTGTAATTCTCTTGTTAAATTCAAGAAAGGTCTTAGAGATTATTTGTTCAAACAGAGCTACTAAATTTTTATCCTATTCATTTTCTTTCTTCGTAACTAGTATTACATTATTTCCATATTTTTAGTTCCAATAACTTTTAACGATTTTATAATATATTTATATTTTATAGTTTTTTAATCCTTTTTATAATTTGTAATTTTTTTCTTCTTTTCTACCAGTGATTTCATTGTTATTATTTAGTGGGGGCTGCCGTATATGAGGATTCAGTTCTTACCTGGCGCCACCCTTTTTGCAATTTTTTAAATATTATAATTTGTTTGCAAATAAAGTTATTATAAATAAATAAATAAATCTATTAGACCTCCATTAAATATTCGATTAAGACCTACTGTGATACACTAGCCAATTCAAAATATGAAAATGTATGTTTTACGGAAAAAGAGGGCAAAAAGTGTGTTTGGAAAATATATTTGCAATGAAGTCAGCTGATAAAAAACTGATATGTAAATTCGACAATTTAATTGCATTAAGTTCCTTTTGGCCAATCGCACACAGGGTTGCAAACAGTGCAGTCCGACTCTTTTATGTCATTACAACTCCGAATCATGATCGCCATTATTTATAAGATTAAGATAAAAAGATAAGGGGAGATAGTGTCCTTGTTTCGTTCCTCTATGTACCTTGAAAAAATCAGTTACTTTACCATTATTAATGATACAGCTTTGATTGTCATGCAAAAGAATTGTCAACAATTTGATAAAATGCTCGTCAAAGCCAAATTTATGTAGGACTGCAAAGATAAAATGATGCTCAATCGAGTCGAATGCCTTTTCAAAGTCCGCTGCGAATAGCAACGAATATTCGTCTTTATGTTTTAAATAATCCATAATATCTCGAATTATTCTGATGGGTTCATCTATATTCCTTCCTTTAACAAAAGCTGCTTGGCCACAACTGACAAGAGCAGGCAAAACTTTAGCCATTCTATTACTTAGCACTCTACTACATATTTTAACGTCCACATTGATAAGGCTGATAGGTCGCCAAGCGTCCAAGTTATCTTTGCCAGGTTTTTCTAGTAAGGTAATTCGCCTTTTCCATATCGAGCAGGATACTGGGCTCGAGTTCGGACCGCAAAGCATGCATGGATTGTTTGGAAGGACAGAAATTTTAGTAATGGCGTCCATCGCGACTGAAAATTGCATGTCAAAAGAAAAGGTTATTTTGACTGAAGAAGATATTCCCGGCGCTAAAATTTCACGTGATTCGATAGAGCAATGTACCGTAGTTCAACTACGAAGATGGCTTTTGTGTAGGGGAGCAAAAACCTCTGGAAATAAAGCTGCTTTGATTAGTAGGTAAGACGATGTTGTGATTGTTTATGTTTTGCCCTCTTTTCTATAATTTTTTTTKTATCCGTTAATTMTTGCTTTCATGTTAAAAAATCATGTTAAATCATTATTGTTATTTTAGAGTGCACGATTATGTAAAGAGTGGATTGGCAACCAAATATCTACGCGATCCTGATGGAGGCATCAACGTTTTAAAGAAAAAAGCTCAACTTGGCGTTCTTGACAACGCAGAACCAGAACTTTCTCCGACATTCCCGAAGGAAGGTTTTAGCTGTRACTTGACTGGAATGCCAAAGATAACTTTTGGCACAATATGGAGATATATGATTGACTATGTCGAGGTCAAGAAGCAGCTATCCACGGCCAAACCAWTGGTCAAAGGCTATAACTTCTATAAATCTGGCCATGTTCTTTTCGTTAGTCACTTAGCTGAAAAGGGAAAACATTACATTAAAAGCCAAGTACTGCCATCTATGAAAAAGAAACAAGTATACACATGTTATATTGTCATAACCTCATTTGGAAATATCTTAAGAGCCCAATGTGGCTGTCCAGCAGGGGTTGATGGCCGATGTAATCATGTCACAGCTACCATGTTTGCTCTAGATGAATACTGTAAAGAGAGAGCAAAAGCTGAGCCAGATTCATCAGATTTGTCCTGCACATCAAAGCCATGTAAATGGAACGTTCCACGTAAGCGAAAAGGTACTGTTGTGCCTATTGGAAATATTGAATTTGCAAAACATGACTATTCAAAGCCAAAGAAAAAGAGAATGTCCTTTACAACTCCAAGACATGATGTACGGGCTCTAAGTCAGAGAACATGGCCTGAGGACAAGGTGAAAAATATGTTTAATCTTATTAAAGAATACCAAGAAAAGTCAAAGAAGGCAGTAGGATGGTTGCATATTCTTCCTCAAGAGGTTCCTGTCAAGCAATCAAGCACTACAGAGTCTACAGAGGAACAAAATCATGATTTGCTATCACCGATAAAGGAACACCCAGTCTCTGCATCCACTATCAAGGAAAGATGTCAACAGGTTCAAAGGAAACTGGATTTGTCTGAGTCAGAAATAAACAATATTGAAAAAATGACAAGGGGCCAGTCAAACAACAATACATGGTATTGTCAAAGAAGAGTCAGAATTACTGCATCAAAGTGTAAAAGAGTTGCTGCCATGAAGGCGTCAACATCACCAACTAAAGCTGTCCAAGAGATCTTGCACTATAATGTTTCTTATCAATCCCAAAGTATGAAAGAAGGACTTCAGCAAGAAAGTACTGTCTTAGAAAAGTACATGTCATTGATGCATGAAAAGGGACACAATGATCTGAAAGTCACTCAGTGTGGTTTCTTTGTCAGCAAAGACCATGGAATTMTTGGTGCATCTCCAGATGCTCTAGTTGATGACCCGTCATTCGAGGATGCAAAAGGACTTGTGGAAATAAAATATGTCCAAATGAATGAAGACGAAAGTTTAAATGATGCACTACTCAAAAAATCTGTTTGAGAAAGAACAATGACATTGAACTGAATACCAGCCATCAGTACTTTTACCAAGTACAACAACAAATGCATGTTACTCAAAGAAAATGGACTGATTTTGTAGTTAGTGGTTCAAGATGTGATGATTCTCTTTTTTGTCAAMGAGTGTTTTACTCTGATGAGTTTTGGAATGCAACTTTTCCTAAACTTCTTTCATTTTTTCAGAGGTGGGTTGCACCTGAAATTGCATATCCCAGAATTAAACATGGACTACCTAAATTAGATTTAAGATCGTTATAAATGTTTATTGTCCAAGTGAAGTCACATAAACTATAAAAACCAAACAAGTTATTAATAACTATGATATTTATTTTAATAACAATAACAATTCATTAACAATACATATCTTTTTATTGTTTATAGTTGTCATTATACAATCCATACATTTAGAGTGGAGACACAAAATTCATGAAACAAAATCTGAAATAGACACAAAAGCAAACAATGGAATAAGTGGCTTTAAGCCTAATATGCATTTCATGGGTTTTGTAACTTCACTCTATTCAAAGATAATAATTGAATATCTATTTTACTTCTTATATATTTCAATCAATGAATCAAGTTTATTTTGCTAGTTATTTAGTAGTAACCTGTTTTGTTTTGTACATTACAAAAACTATCACTCTAAAGATTTAGTTAATCAAAGGAGGATGAAAATTACTCAATGCACATACTATAATCAACATATCAGATGCAAGCTGTGCAGAAACAACTGGAATTCTACRGTCAAAAATATGCCAGTTTTTTATCCTTKCCATTGTTCTTTCTACATGGATCCTTAAACTAGCCACTTTTTTGTTGTGSTCTGTCTGTTCTTTCGAAAACTGTTTCATGTTCTTAAGCTTGAAATGAGGGAGGATAATTTCTGCACCTACTGAGAGCAGTTCTTCCTTACAGTCAAAGCCCTTGTCAGCCAAGACTTGATCTCCTGGCTTTAACTTAGCTAAAAAGTTGCTCTGTACCACAATTTCTTTATCGGAGGCACTCCCAGGGAAGAATTCGCTGACAAAATTGATWACACCACTGGGACTAATACCTATTAGTGATTTCATGGTGTTTCTTGACTTGTAGTGAGAAAAACACATTGATTGATTATCTAATGCTGATGGCTTCYCCATTTCAACTTCAGTGCAATCAACTATGGTTGTGAGGTTTGGGTAGAAGATTTGGAACACTTCAGGCATGTAATGTTTTGTAACCTCAGGTGGTGGGATATTAATCAGTGGCTCAAATTCACATCTCAGAAATCGCAGCCAAGTTCTAAGGATTCTGCAAACTGTTGCCAAAGATATGCCAAATCGATGAGCAAGGTCCTTCTCAAACAACCCAAGTCTTAAACGCATCAAAACCAGGGTAAACTCCTGAAAGGTATTGAGAGAACGAGGTCTTCCCAGCTGTTTAGTGTTGCTTGTGTCGACGTAAACCTTTTCATGTTCATAACTAAGATTTTTTGCAGAGTACTAAATAAGGTTATAGACTAAAATCATAGCATCATAATCTGGAAAACCAGTATAGAATGTTATGTCCTCGTCGCTGTCCTTGTATTTGTTTATCTCAAATATGCTGTTGCTTTACAATTCCAGCTTTAGTTCAGCAAGTTGTTTCTTTAAATCTTTGTTTTCTTCCTTTACAGCTGAAAATTGTTTTTCTATCTCAAGTAGTCTATCAATGTCTTTGTTTTCCGACCTTAGTTTTTCGTTTTCTTCCTTGATAGCTAGATATTGCTTTTCAATTTCAAGTAGTCTATCAATGTCTTGACCAGAAAGCAAAGTTTCAGTTGCTTGTTGAATATCTTGGTTGTTTACTTCGACGCCATGATGAAAATCTGGGTTTTCGATGGTTTGTTCGTTTGTCTCTGACTCAACTCGTTGTTTTTTCTTTTTCTGTGATTTGTCTACAACAGGATGTCGGGATATCTCTCTTCTTTTATGTGTTTGTTTCGTCCACGGAAAGATGGTTGGGAAATGATTGCGACTCAACTTTTCCCCTCCTTCGAAATGTGCAGAGCAAACCCTAGTAGCTTGAGATTCGATCTTTAGTGTTTCGTTTCTCAAAATACGCTCGTAARCTTTTCTTTGCTCTTCATCCTTCGGAATCCTGTAATAATGTAATTCTGGAGCATTTCTGAAGCTGTTTAGGCATCCAGGAACACAACAGTTGGATTTATGCGGCATAATCCACACAATCACATGCAATTTTCAGTCGCGATGGACGCCATTACTAAAATTTCTGTCCTTCCAAACAATCCATGCATGCTTTGCGGTCCGAACTCGAGCCCAGTACCCTGCTCGATATGGAAAAGGCGAATTAATTTGCTTTTGTGATGTTGACAAGGAACCCACTTCAAAATTATAATTCAAATACTTTACCAAATCATCCCTCAAATCCGCCCACATGAACATATAAAATTCCTTAGTTAAACTGTCATTGCCTGGGGTCTTAGACAGACCCGTTCAATTCGTACTTAATGGACCGCCACCAGCGTGTTACTGTGGCCAGAGCTACGTCAGATCCCCTGCTTGTCGGTTCCGGGGTTCCTCAAGGCTCTATTGTGGGACCACCAACATATCTGTGTTTAGTGTTTTGGAATCTTATCCTTCAATTCTAAGTTATTTTAGTTTTATCCTTTTCCTAGGCGAAAATATGATGCTTTGCTGCGGCTTTGGCACGCAAATGAACGGAAATTTGTTATCAAATCTATATATAATCATTAACTACTTAGTCAAATATTAACAGTGACCGACTAAAAAGTTATTTTGATTACTATAGGCTTTGTAGCAAGCAGTAAGAAAAGTGTACAAAGCACTCCAGAAAAAAGACAATGTTCCTGGCTTTCACATTGATGAGAGGTGAGTAACAATTATTATATTTCAGTTACTTAAAGATGTTTTCCTTATTTATAATCAATACTTTAATTTTCAGTGTCGATTCTGACAAAAATAAAACTGTTTTGGAAAGGGTGACGACTGAGGTCGTTCATGACAACGGAGGTGACCATTGCACTTGGAAATGATCAGTTATTGAAGATATTAAACTCAACTCACGTGACACTGTTATATTACATGTGTATAATGCTTGCAATTGCGGTTGATTGAGTTTGATTGATTTTAAATTCTGACTAAAAGAGCAAGAGACAGGGTATTGCCAAGGGTGACTGGAAATTCCTCCACTAGAGATCCACCCAACAGTTTGCCGGGTGTTGCTAAACCCCGAAAAACCGAAACAGTACCAAAACGAAACAAGAGTGTACAAATACTTTGCAATATAATTTTGAGAGCAACTGACATCATTTAAGACCAGTTTACAATGCTTTAAGAATCGTATACCTGGAAAGTTTTATGTCATCACCTTGCGCGCATTGAGGGCAGCCACACGGGAGCCTGGCTTTATATTGCTGGTGGTGATAGATACGATGCAAAAGTTACTCTGTTGGCGGTCGCTCGATCAATCCAAAGACGAAAACACGGGGAGGGATGGGACGTCCGAAATTGTCAAACCACCCGTGCATATCAAGAATGTTGCTTACAGGAGCACCAAAGAATTCAGGAAGCAAGACTGCAGCGAAGCGTTGGGGAAGTGTCACACGCACTAACAGCCAGGTTGAAGTTGTCACCAAGCGGCACACCCAATGGTCATCCACATCAGGCGTACCACCGCAGCAGGGGCCAATGCAGCCACCATGGCAACCAGTAAGGATGGCGAGCTACAGCAAAGTAAGCCCGAAAATGTCTATTTTCATTTAAACAAAAGTTGCATCCAAAAAAAGTGTTCATTATTTATACCGAGTTTGGTATGTGTTCCACCCATGGTATTGTCTTCGTTAAGTCTATCATATAAAAGCGGTATTTATGACACATTGGGAATTAAGTTACAGTAAAATTTACACGATATACCTAGTAGAATAGCACAAAAACTAGATCCTTTGTTTTTGATTTTTTAATCTATTTAATATTTACTGTTTAGCAATATATAACTAGTGCTACTTCATTGGTATAATTATCATAGTGCATTAGATGTTGTAACGAAGTTGAATTAAAACATTTTATTGGAAAATATCTGTTGTGTGTTGTCT